GACATTACTTGTATCCCTAATATTGTAAAAATCTTCTTTTACGTGGAAATTTCATACTTCATATGTCGTCGATAGTTCGAGTATTGATAAAGATAATTAATTCTTAAATAAAATAAAATTCTGTGCAGCATCAAAAAATGTTGCCAACAAATTTCCTACTGCGACAGCTGTACATATCAAAACCGCACTCGAAGAATAATTTACTTGAAAATCACCCTTGGTTTTACAAAGAGGTAACAGAAAGTTCGTGATGGGCGAAGATTGTCAATATATATTATAGATTAAAACTATGATGTATTAATTCTCAAATAAAATAAAATTCTGTGCATCATCAAAAAATGCTGACATTACTTGTATCCCTAATATTGTAAAAATCTTCTTTTACGTGGAAATTTTATACTTCATATGTCGTCGATAAAGGTACCGATCGAAACTGTTTCCGGCGACGTTCGACGAATGCAAACCGACCACAATAACGATACCGTTACCAATTTTCTTTTTTCTTTTTTTTTTTTTTTTTCTTTTTTTAGTGCGGTTAGCACGCGAATCGGTTTACCGAGAAGAGGCCGCACGATGCGCCACAATCTTCCACTCGGTCGTCATGCCGCTCCGCGCGGTTGTACACGCGATATCTCCTCCGGAGAGCTCCGGATCGCTCTGTGGCTACCAAGTGTGCCACGGAACACGCGCCACGCGAAAACCAAGGCAAAACGAGAAAATACATATAATACTGCGCGTGCAACGTGTCGCCGCAAGCATTAGATTGAGTAACGAGCTTCGATCGATTTTTAGGGACGAGCGCGCGCGCGTTTCGGGGCTGCACGATCAACCGATCATGTAGTACAAAGTGATAAATGCACGTGCTACGATCTAAAGTTTAAACTTTCTGGCTAATCCACAATTCAGGCAGGCACGCGTGCGAAATTAAATTTAAAAATATATATTAAAGAAACAGGTGTGAAGTAGCGTAACGTAGAACACAAATGATTCCTAGTAAAATACTTAGTTAAAGTATAATAAGAACGTCGACAACGTAGTTCCGTTAAATTCAATTGCATCAATTAAGTACCTTTGTCGCTTGCAGATTATAATATCTGTTTAGAAAAAAAAAAAGAGACTCTTACGTTCGTCCATCATGATCGACTAAATAATCCCAGACGATCGTTTAAATCATTGGTAATAATTTTTGAGTTCGAAAAAAAAAAAAACGCTTACCTGATCGTACTCGATCCACTTTCACCATCCGCGGTGCCCCCCAGATAAAGCTCGTGATGATTTTCACTCTGAATATAGACCAAAGGATCGCCTCGAATCTCTCTAAGCCTTTCCGCTTGCGATCTAAAGAGCACGAATATTGTACATCTTTCGAATGGAACCCCTCCTTTCGAGTGCGGAAACTTTATGGTTATTCGAAGAATATAAAAAAATCTCAGCCATATTTTCAATAAAAAGTCGAGTTAAATTAATATTCTATACAAGAACTAGCACTCCTTCAATTTACACCGAATTCCTTTCGATTTATTAAGAAAAATCTTTTCCCCAACTAATCGTCGATAAGCTTTGGAGTTACGCACGCGACATTATCTGCGAAAGGATCGAACTGTTTTGAGATTATTAAGGTGAATGACAGAAGAATATAATTTACTTGCGTATACTTGAACTTATAGTGGATTTACCCAATCTGCGAAGACAGAGCTTCTCTAAACAGCATAATATTCTCCGCCAAGGCGGTATCGCGGTTCAGTACGTTCATAAATATCCCACTTGTAGTCATCGCTTCGGTGGTAGTCACGGAATTTGAAATCGTTTCTGCAGGCTCGATCTGTGGCGTCGTAGCGATTATAGGGGACTCGCCTGCAAGGAAGCCCGACTAAATTTCGTGACGCGGGAATCGATGAATATTACGTTACCGCGGAGTCGCATGAGCCGCGTGACTACAAAAATCATCGAACAACTTGTCTCCAAACGCGTAAAATTTATCGTCGCGTTACATCGAGCATCGACGATTTAGTCTATTCATTTTTAAAGAATTCAACACGTTCCGTGCCATGTGTACCACCGGTGGTACACGTTAAACTTGAT